AACTCCATCTTTATTTAGTATTCCTTCCAGCGTTGCAAGATTTGGCTACATTGCGCCAAATGTGGCTACTTTTTTAATTTGACGTAAAAAAATATCATTTGGCGCTTTGGCTACTTTTGGGGCTACATATCATTTATAAATATATTAGTTGAATAAAAATGCACTTTAAAATGGTGTTTCGTCGCTTTTTATTAATCAGAGACTCAAATAAACCAAATATTTGCGTTTTATCAAATAAATGAATTTATCTAGTTAATCCTTAAATATACTTGTATATTGGGCCACAAGTATATATAATATATACTTGTGGCCCAATATACAAGTATATTTAATTTTTTAATTATATTTTGTTTCTCTGGGCCGCATTGGAAGAAGTCAAGGAGTGGCCCAAAACTCCTTGACTTCTTCCAATGCGGCCCAGAGAAACAAAAAGGTTGGACACCCCTGGTTTAGATCTTAACATTTTTGTAAACATACCAATTCCTCGTAGCGCACCGTAACGGTTGTCTGAATATCCACCAACACCTGCATTACGTATTTTATGGGCAGCTCTGTTTATAAAACGAAGAACAATTTAAAATTGCATTGATTGGCTTTGCGCGAGACTTATAGTTGGGATAAAAATTTATAAAACGTAACAATTTTAATTAAAAAGTTAATTAAAAAAGTAGAATTTTAAAAAGCATAGAACAGAATTGCCGCTATTACTATCATCGGAAATACAAACAGTTTTCGTGTTAAATCACTGTAAACAGGAAACTAATTAGGAAAGCATTTAATAGATATATAACTACTATCAAAATATATGCAGATTACGGCAAACTTTTAAATAACGTGATGTAAATTGTCGATTAAATCTCGAAGAGAGACAACTGCGGAACTTTCGGTTTGTTGAAATGTATTTGTTTGTTATGGCAACGCAACACTTGGAGGATGCCTTCCGGGAGATCTTTGTAAGTGTAACTGGTCCCTATTCAGGCGTTACAGACGTGGAGAAAACCCGTAAAATTCCACATGGCCAGCCCGCCCGAACTCCAACTGTTCAGAGAACGGAACTAGTGGACCTTGGATTGTATGATTGACAGAAATAGTGCTTGTGTGCCATAGATGACTTTGGCTGTGTGACATTTTTTGATGCTCATTCCTTTATATATGTGTAGCCTATATGCGTATATATATCATATATATACGTGTCGCCAGTGGGGGTATAATGGGTCTGTAAACCTCTTTTTCTGCCGTATATGGTATACATCAATTCAAATTGTTCTTACACTGCGAAAATGGTTATGGGAACAGTTCAAATGGAAATGATCAGAGTGCCACTTGTTTGGCCGTAAAAAAAAGTCAATCTGAGAACTTATGGACCATGTAGGCTATTTGGTGGGTTTGGCTTCCCTAGATTAGTTGTTTTATGCATATGGATCACAATTTGCAAAATATTGAACTACATGGTTTGTGAAAATTTCCTTAAGAGGACTCGACTGTACTAGAAACGAAAATAATCAGAAAATATTGAGTATTTATTTATTTATTTTATTTAAAAATAAGAAATATATTATTTTGCCCTTTTTAAACTGTGTCTCATTTTACTGTAATAATATTGAATATACGTATTTACAATTAATATTTTCTTAAATAGTGTCGTCTTTATTTCATCACGTAGATTTCTCGTTATTACTAAATTATAGCCTATAAATTATACAAATATATAAGGTTATTTTATCCCATATAATTTATATATCTATAGGCATCACCATCCTTTTTGTACTTATTTTGCTCTGTAGGAACATTAAACTATATGAAAATAAATTACTTTTTCCTAATGTTTCACTGTGTATTACTAGATATGAATGATATACTAGAAATTATATCATCATCAAAAAATAAACATATCATTGTACACTCATTGAAAATTAATATAGCCTATATTTACTTATATTAAAATTTGATAAATAATTTAAATTTAAATACAGTCGACCTGTAAAGGTTTATTGCAAGAGCTCATGTTAAATTTTAGGATAAAAACAAAGAAAAAACACTATAAACACAGATTTTATTATTAAACGCTTTTATTTAACTTGTTTTGTATCACCCTCAAATTTCATCTACTTCTAATTAAGATAGAAGGATGAAACACGCCTAAGTACGATGACAATTCATTTTAATGTTGTTTTAGGAGTGGCCACATCCCCATCATCCTCCTCATCCCGAAATCCGATAAACATAACTAAATGTAGAATTTAATCATGTGTTTATGTGAATGCAATTAGAAATGTATAATATATGGTAGGGTGATCCACTCCAACCATTTTTTTCAATCTCTAAAAACATGACCAATAAAAGCGGTTTTTTTTTCTTTTTAATACATTAAAATTATTATATCCGCCTTTATTCGGGATAAGAAGATACTTTGGATCATCATTTAACTAATAATTAAAAGTCATATAAAATAATAAATATTAAACTCGACTTCATTCATATATAAATATATGAAAGCAATGTCTTAGGCCCTATATTTTATGAAGTTTACTTTTGAAAAAAATTAAACCAAATTACATTATATACTAATTTACTTACTTAATGTTCATTTAATTATGTCAAATGCTAATTGAAGAAAAATCAGGGATAAAAATTGAAATTCTTCGCGCTTAAAATATGTAGGACAAATTAATAAATTGAGATCCATTACTAAAAATAAAATATCGNAAATGTTGAGTCGAATTAGTCTAGAATCGGTTAATTTTATAGAAGAAAACCTTTCGAACAGCCTTAGTCCGTAAAGTTCCCACCTATCGGGCTGCGATTGGCTCATGTATTTAATCATTCCTACAACGTAATTTTCGGTTAGCGTGGAACGTATCTAAGCGTTATAGGGGGGTCTACTGTATTTTATTTCTTGAATGTTTCTTATTAATATTGAAATTATTATAGTTTTTATTTAATAAACATATGTATTTACATGTACAGAAAATTCTTTACTGTATAAAATATATATAAAATAAAGCATACCTTTTTCATTGGTATTATACTACGTAAAAATTATTATTTTCATATACATTACTTCGTGTAACCGAATATTAAAGAAATTTATCAAGGCGTTTTCAAAAATTTTTGAATAAAAATTCAAATTGTAGACTTGTGTTTGCAAAATTTTGTTAAAATTAACGTATTAAAGCATACGTATTTTATACATATAAAAAGCCTGTTTTCTGTTAGACAGACGGAGCAGTAAGTAATCCATCCTTTAAATAATATTTTCCATAATAAATCCTAACTTGATTATTTAATAACGTATACGATAGCCTAATACAAATGCGGAAATAACGTAACCAAAAGCAATGGCGTTAAACTGTTTAGAAATACAGATTAACCGATATCACTTTCCTACCAGATCAGTTAATGTTATTTTAATTAGGTAGAGCTTAGCTACTCTTTGTTAGTAAATCGAAGGGACAGCGCGTACGCAGTCCCCGCACACAAAAATTTCACGCCCCATCTATTCCACTTTGGAATAGTGGCAGGTGTCAACTCAACCCAAATGCAATGGTTAAGTCTCTACCTAGAGACCCCCACCTTCTTGATCATGGGTGATCTCGACGCAAAGTAAGTATGACCGATTGCCTTCCTCTCCCCTTCATGAGTACGCAACGATGTATTTGTCTACGGTGTTTTCTCACAAAGGGTCGTTTCTCCGCCGCATTTTAAATATTTTCGTTCGATGCCTTTTGTTAAACGTACGGTTTCTTGCTGTACCGTCGACTTTTTTAAGAGACTTTCTAAAATGCTTCCCTAAAGCTCGGTTTCGCGCAATGATGTCGTCGATCTCTTTTACGATATCGTAAATGAATTAAGTGGAGCGGTTTTAACGAGTGAGGAAGGAAGTGATTAATATTTCGATTAAGGATCGATAATGTTTGCCACCCTCTCCCGTTACGTTTTTCTTTCGTCTACGCGATTTAATGGAGGTGCTTTAAATAAATACTGTAATTTAATAATAGAAACTGCCGAATACTTATCCTCAGTATCGAAACTGTGAAATAAACAACAGAATAAAATATTTAGTTTCGTTTATTGAACCAAATAGTAGTAACACATACTACAATAGATGTAACGAGTCATTGGATACTGTAGGCCAACGAGTCGTGACTACACACAAAATTAGGATGATTTTAAATAGCTCTTAATAAATTTAGTCTCTTCCTCAATAGTAATGTTTAAATGAACGTATCTGATTTCTTTTCAATGAGTCAAGGACTCGCGTTGTTGGTTCCCTGAACCGAAAAACTATACTTAAAATGAGTTAAAAGTCTAATGTAATTAAAGTAAAATTATAAATTTTAACTGCTAATCAAAAATATAATAAAACAGTGCTTGAAACATAACAGAAAATAATAAGACAAAAATAATCTAAGGTAATTAATTGGCAATTATCAGTTTTATTATGAGGTCATAGACCTTATTTGACTTATATATATGTACTGTATATTCTTTGCAATATCGTTCAAGTAATTTAATTAATTAAAACAATTTTTAATTTTTTTAAACACTTTTATTTTACTTGATTTTTATATCCTCAAATCTTGCAACTCAAATTTCATCCAGTTATAATTAAGATAGAAGACTGAAACTTAGGAGTCACGTAAGTACAATGATGATGCATTTTAATGATGATGTTTTAGGGGGTGTCTCCACTCCAAAACCCAATAAACAAAACCAAATGAAGAATTTAATTGTGTGTATGTATGAAAATGCATTTCAGTGATTATATGGTGGGACAGTATCCATCCATCTCTATCTCGAAAAAAATTACCAATAAATGTGTTCTTAATGTATTAAAATTATTAATTATTTATTTCTGTATCTAATATAAATAAGAAATGTTGAAAAAATATCAGTAATTAATTTCTAGTTTGATCATATGATGTACAGAATTATATATACACATATAACAAAATTAAATATTAGCGTTTATAATTTATATTTCATTTCATTTATTTGTTTTGGCTTCTTCTGCCTTTACAAATGGGGTACAAAACTCAAAGCAACATTATTAAATTATAAACATTATTGTATAATTTATATAATATGTGAATAGTGTTTCTGTTCGTTATATTTTAAATAAATTTTGTTCATATTTATAAGAAATAAAATAATCTACTTGTAAGAATTTATTTGTCTGGGATTATATATAAAGGATTAAATAAAGAAAAACGATCAGAATAAAAATTAAAAGTTTGTCATCAATAAAGAAATATAAATATTAAAAGAAATAAACAGTTTTAATATTTATTTGTTATTAATTAAATTAAAAGTGTTAGGTAATTTATTAATTACCTAACACTTTTACTGATTGCAAAAAACACTTTAAAAACTTTTTTTTATCTTTAAAACAAAAACAAGTATTGTTTTAAAGTTTTGAACTGATTCTTTTTAACATAATTTGTATTTATGTTTCTTACACATTTACAAAGCCGCAAAATGATTAGTTAAATAATGATTACCTGCTACTAGCATAACAAATTCTGGAGGGACAGAGATTGGGATCCGCTTTCCCAGTTGGTGTAATAATTTGATATGGGCATTTCTGCTGCTCATAGCAAACTTGCTTGATTCACTGACAAAAAGCTACCCAGCAAGCAATGTTGAAACCTTGGAATGTGCCTGTAGTTTTCAACCCCAATCTATGCCCGATATTAGGTATCAAGAAAGAGCAAGGACTTTCAAAAAGTACATTACCTTCGGGTAAGTCTTTATTATGTCCTTCAAGTCTTCGAACTGGTGGCTTTCCTTCCGAGGTTATCCTGTATTGAAATTTGGTTCTCATAAAGATTGAAGCAAATTTGTGAGTTTTTGTTATTTTAACGTAATGCTAAAGTTTGGCGTGTCATAAAAGAACAGGTCCAAAAGTTTAACTTATAACATGAAATGACAGTAAATGATTTTTTTCTCCATTTATGCAAATTCATTTTAATACAATAAAGAATATTAAAAATTCTATTCTAAATATTAATGGATGGATGGCCAAGGCGGTTTAAGGGGTCAGCCTATCCTTCTGGGAATCCGGGATCCAGACGAGCAACTTTCACAGGAATTTTTCATGGATAGTCTGTCCAGGATTTGTTGATCCCATCCCTTACCACTTGGGTATGATTAAAAAGGCCATCTTAGTGACCACAGGGCGAGGTCAAAAATAAAAAGAAAAAAAAGTCTAAATATATTTCCTCTTTCATTTCATATTATTTATGTTGTTTTTGTGCCATTAACACAAATAATTATGAAACTGCCTGCAAATTAACACAAATAATAATTAATAGTAACTTTATTAAAAAAAAATGAATTATTTTCATAAAGATTCCATTAATTCTTACTAGAACTAAAAAATTTTCGATACAGTATGTCATTCGAAATTTTCCCAAATTCCAAAAAAAAAAATAAACCAGCATAGAGTTGCTCAACTTTCCCAGCAACATTTAAAATTTTGGTGGCACTATCTGTTGTTATATTTTATTTTAAAAACTTGTAATATTTTTAATTATTATAAAATGGTAAAAAGCATAATTTTGAAGATAGGGATGTGTTTTATTAAAAAAAATTGTTAATGCTAATAATAAGTAAAATTGTCATTAAGTCCGACCCTATTGGAGATACACACGACTCCCTTTATCTCCCCACCCACTCAAACTTTAATCAAGAAAATTTAATAACATAAATCCCACTAATACATGTGCTTTTTGTCGAAAATTTCAGAAAATTTTCGACAAAAAGCTCAGGAGTTATTAAGCTTCAAACAGTGAACAAATTGTGCCCCAATACACAGAAATTACCCCCTAATTTTTTTTGCATTTCTCAGCCATTTCAAAGCCCGTGTCCAAAAATATAAAAATCTTAGGGGGTCATTTTTTGACCAATAGCCATACTTTCCCTCTGTTATATATGATAGCCAGGAAAGTAAAAATAATAATTCAAATTATTAAAATTATCACTGAAAGATTATACTGTATTTATCCAGTGATAAATTCACTGATTAGTAAGTAAATAGAACATATCAAACATTCTAAGATTAATACAGTATTACATAGCAATGTCTAGTTTATACATGCAGTCTGGCATATCTGCTAGCATACATAGCAGATATGCCAGGCACTGCCTGAGCAAAATCATAAAAGATTCCTTTTTTCATTTTCAGTAGTAAATTTAGATGAATTTCAGAAATTATTTGAGAATCAAAAATTTTTAATATTTACAAAATATTAATAAATTATTTATATGAAAATATTCATTAACGATTTCTTTTTATATTAACATTGCCTACAGAAGAAAAATTTTTCATTGAAACCTCACTCTAGTAATTTAAAAACCAAAACTTAGATTTGTTTTTTACTATGTATTGCTTGCATAACTATGCATAACTAGAAAGAGAGGAAGAATAAAGGAATTGTCTTGACTATCCAGCAGTTGCCACATTATAAGTAATACGATTACACTATGTTCAGCAAAACTTTGGGTTTGATACATTTTTCCATGTCAAATTATGATAGAATACAGGTATACCTCGACTTACATTGTTTTGAGTTATGTCGTTCTTGATTATACATCATTTGTCAAAAAATATATGGAAAAATAAAAATCAAGTTTAAGTCATTTTATTTGACTTTACATCTGTCCACCACAAATATTGAAGTCGTAATATAACTATAAAAGTATTAAAGCACATAAAATCATATTAAAATACATACATTTACAGTAAATGTTAATATAATTATCATAAATCCTAAAGAACAAAACATGAAAACATCTGCATTTCTGTGTTGTCTTATTTAGCGGTCTTTAAGTGCTCAATATTGGTGTTTTCCACAGTAGCTCCAACATCTACTGTTTGGCGTCATTGTCAGTGCCACTCAATATTGGTAAATTTAATATAAATTAGTTTATTTTCTATTGTTGAGAAATAATTTTAATAACTGTATTTATTATTTAACCTTACTAAATCATCTTATTTTATAATGTCTTAGAGAAAACCACATTCCTTAGAGCAAACCACATTCACAAATAAAGAGTCCGTGATGTACTATAAACATTGCCAAATTGCAAACATGTACATTTACAAATATGTACTGTACATACATGAATTCGTAAATTTAGATTACTTTTTTCTGCACTATATTAAAAACTAAAATTTATTTGTTTGTAAGCTTAAAATAGATTCTTATTAACCATATATTATTAAAAATTCATTTATAAATAAAATACAAAACTGGGAATGGTTATTTGTGGTTTAGCCTACTGACAAGTAAATTTGACTTACGTCATTTATCGACTTAAGTCGTCTCTCCTAGAACCAATTACCGACATAAGGCGAGGTATACCTGTATAAGGATATGAACATTCAAAAATTGAGTTAGCTGGTTTAGAACTGATTTTAACCTCATTGAGAACTTTTGAGAACTGGATTATCCAATACATAAAACACTACAAAATGTGACCTGTCTAGCTTTTAAAAAACAAAGACCTGTTGTCAAAATGAAACCACTGATTTTATAATTTCATTACAATTGTTTACATTAGTTGATGAAATTTATGATGAAAATGAAATAACAAAATAAAATTCATA